CAGCTGATGATGGCGAAGAGCCAGTTGCCTGTGTAGAGCATGGTGCAGTTGTTGGTGACGCGGCTTTCCGACATCGGAGTGTCGGATCGTTGGTCCCATTATCTCTCGTGTACCACTGGCTTTCCGACGTCGAGGTGCCGGACAGTTGGTCAAAAAGGTACGGGTTGTGTCAACGTTGGCCACCATGGGCTCGCAATGGGTCGACAGACCCTTGTCTGTGGGTCACTCGTATTATTTTATCGTTGTTTGTAGTTGCGGTAGTTGTTGCTGTTGGTTTTGTGATTATAGCTGTGTAAAATTTTGGACTGGATTCGTTGCGGCAGTGGCATCTGTAACCGTTTTGTGTTAGCGGCGATAGCCATCTGTTGCCGTTGACGTCATTGAGGTAAATGCTAACGACGTTGCGGTTATGATAGTTGTTGTCGTTGATGTTGTTGGCGTAAATGTTGGTGCTGTTGCTGTGAGGCCATTGTTACAGGCGATATGCTGCTTGGTTGGCGTTTGTTGTTGTTTGTTGCTGATGTTATTTGTGCAGGTAGGGGTTACTCTTCCGGTAGCAGACGGTGATCACAGCTTCCCGTCTACCTGTAGCTTTCCTTCAATGCACGATGTTTCAAGGCCATACGGACACGTTCGCTCCATAATGAAAGACTTTCGCCCTGAGTTTCTGTTTGTTGCTGTTGACGTTCAGAAGCTTTATTTGTGGCCTTTTCCATCAAGCCAGGGATTTCATAAGCTAACGGTGTGAACGTTATTGCTGGAGGCATACCTGTTGTCAGATGGCCTGCCCCAACCGATGAACAGCCGATTAGTTGGACTAGTAGTTATCGCCGTTGTTCGTGTTTTAGACTTCATTGTAGTTGTTGTGATGCTATTGTTATGATTGTTATGTTTTGGGGCACCAACCTCTGTTGGTACTTGTTGTTGTTGTTGATGCTGCTGCTGTTGTAGTGCCTCCCGTGATGTTGTTATGCTGACTTGCTGTTCACGAAAACTTGATTGTTTTTCCAAGATGGGTGCCGTATCATTAGGCGTGGCCTTTGCCCTTTGTTGACGGAGAGTCGTGTCAGCACTCGTATGCCTGTGGTTTTCTGACATCGGGATGTCGGAGCGTTGGCCAGTAGGTACGGGTCGTGGCTCTTTTAACCCTGACGGTGAATGCAGCCTTGTAATAGGCGTTGTCTCTTCGGAATCCACTTGTTCGTCCTGCGGGCATGCGTGACTGATCTCGTAGGCTCTTAAAATCGCTTATCCATTATAAATTCCTCAAAAATAAATAAATAGAAACGTAAGAACAAAACCGAAGGTCCAAGTCTTTTTAATACAAATTTTCTTGGAAAGAGTCTTGGATTGGCTGAGTATACCCTGCCCAAGAAGACTCGTTACAAGTGGCATCCGAGCAGGGACCTTCGGTTAAAAGAGGAAGATTAAGAGCGAACGAGCCTGAGCTCATCGAAATAGAGAAGGGAAGAAAGAAAGCCAGCGTAGTGGAATCATCGTGGTTGTATAGCCTACGGAAGGAAGAGTTGAGCGAAATTTGCGGTGCGCTCGACCTTGACACTAAGGATACTGTCGAGGACATGAGAAAAGCGGTGACAGCCTTTATTTTAACCCCCGACTTAGCAGCCGATATGAAGGTGTAGCTTACGGAGCTAGAAACGAGGTAAGCTGCAAAAACGCTGCACCTGCCAGAAGGCACAGGGCGAGGTGTAAGCCCTAAGCGATACGCGCAAGAACAAATTTCGTGCGGCGCGGCCATGGACCGAATCTGTAAATGGTCGGTACGCTACGACAGCCATAGTTGCGCCCTTGAATTCATCGGACGCATCGAGGAGTTGTGTGAAGTTTACGAAAAGCGGCAATATGGTACCGAAACAACAGGAAATCATGGACAGGGTGGCAGAAGTATAAGCAACATTTCTTCAAATTTTTCCTGCACAGCCGATATCTCGAGCGATTGGATGACCAGGTACGTCAGACGTTTCAGCTAGAGGGCGAAAAATTCAAGGACTGCGCGCTACGCCTGCGAGACATGATATGGCATTTGAACCACACGACAAAACAAAAGCTAGAAAGAATCTGCCGAAACAGTCGGCGGGAGTACCAACTTTTCTTTGGGGAGACAGCCAGCAAGGATTTACCCGAGTTAATAGCGTTGGGAGAGCGGCTTGAGGATATACCAGCACCAACAGTAGCATCGCCGCCGAGGGAAACGTCAGGTTGATCCTATGTATCGAGAGTAAATGCTCCGACCACAACGATACCGGCAGAAACGCCCATCTCGGTTGTGGCCAACCACGCCACTTTGCACGAGAGTGTAATAATTAAAGAATTCTGTTTTGTTAGGATTGTGGTCATCCACAAGAGCTAACCAAGAACTGCTGTCGACAAAACGCCGGTCAACACATACATGCAAGAGGTATGACAGTGAATGAATCGATAGAACGAGGGAAACCGCCGTTAGATGCGGCGCTAAAAATTATGGAAATGATCGGAAGCACCCTGGTAGCCTCCCTCACCATTGGAGGGCACAACAGGCGTCGTGGACACCAGGGCTACCAGAAGTATCATCCGCAAAGATATCATCGGGTTCATTCCCGACATAATAAGCTCTGAGACGGGGAGTCACACGATCCGAATGGCAAAGGGCGCATCACAAGATAGCAAACGCAGTATAACTTTGGAAGTGCATGTAGGCGACATCTCTTTCAACCTAGAGTTATTGGCGTTACGGAGAAGTATCGACCTCCTCACCCTGAGTATGGACTTCCTGACGAAAACAGGCGCTAAGCTGACCGTAGCCGTTATTCCGTTATCCCGTTATGGGTGTACTGTTCCAACGGCAGCGGCTAAGGAAACTCGAGCGTCAGGCGTGCCCGAAGTGTCCCCCACACCGGACCCAATATTTATATGTCCATCGAATCAGACCTAAACGAAAACAGGGATTAACGAGGAAATTATGCGATGCGCTGATATCAACACATTAGCAAAAGCTAATCACAACATGGCAGGAACGCAACATGTGAACGAAGAGAGTAAGATATATAACAGCCTCAAGGCGAAGCTCTGCCCAGGCGAACCAGGTATACAAAGGTTTCTAGAAGGAGAATTAGGAAAATTTGGCGGTAACAAAGCGGTGACCGACATCACTTGTCATCGTATCCGAATGAAGGATGAGATCATCAATCAAAAGGTACACCAACTGCTCCAAACGGGTTCATTGAACCATCAAACAGCTATCAAAACTACGAATAGAGGCCATCAAAACCAAGGCTATATACTGTTAACCCTAAACTCATCACCGCAACGGCTAGGAAGGCGACAACCTTAAGTCGCGGCGAATCATCAAAAATGGCAAAAGCGACTATAGAAACAACGGAACCAAAATCAAAAACCGGCATCATAGCCAAGATCCCTATAACAGAATCAGCGCACCTGTCAACTAATACGAGGAAAGCAACAACAGACAGAGGTAGAAGTATTACGATGGGAAAAACATCAGAAAGGACAACAGAGGTCCGAAAGGCAAGAACAATGCCCTTAACAAAAATGCAACAGTGAGATCAGCAAGAGCGTTCAAAGAATTACAAGGCGTTACCATACGAGGAGATACTACAATAACGTTCTCGGCTTCAAGCAAACTAACAAGAACAAAAAGGACAAGAAGTATCTAAAGTACAAATCCAATAGCTATAAAAATTATATCAACAACAGAGGGTTTGCATCATCGCCAGAATCAAGGGCAATTTAACAAGTTAGCATCACCGTCACCTACATCTCTAATTCCAGCGAACATTTTCTACGTTACAGCCACCAATATGGAGCGTAAGAGCGATGCATTAAAACAAGCATACATCTGTCACAATCAAGCAGATGAATGGTTACCTCTGGACGAGGACGAGTCAACTACAAACCGGTTGCATCATAAGTATTGGGCCGTAAGCCGCTGAAAAAAAAAGTAATATATATACATGCCAGAGGGAAAAAGTAAGACGTAGAGGCCGGTAGCATGACTTCTCGGCGGGTCAGTGATTTCGTACAGTCCCAGGGCGGAGGGGATCAGTCCGTGTCTTTGGTCCCTCCTGAAGCGAGGGGGGATGTAAGGAAGCGTTTTGCTTCCTTACTGATAACATGTCCGTCCGCACAAATGTCTACGCGTAGACCCCAAGCAGTCAGTCTGGTTTGTCCCTTACATGTATTTCTTTCTTACTGATTATCATAAAATCACTATTCTCCCGCACCAACCGTTCAATTCAATGTTTATAAAAAGGAAAAAAAAAGGAAATTGTATCCACGACTCATTATATACGATAGTTTCAGAAAATGTGCAAAACCATAAAGGGTATACAAATGTATAAAATGTATAAAATATATAAAATGTATAAACGTATATATAGTAGAACATATATAAACAATATGCATAAATTTTTGCTAAGGAAACATATTGTGAGCACAGACCTAACGGTCCTGACAGATTGTAAAAGTCATAACGAGGCTAGCATTCACATACCTAACGGTCACCAAATCATACGATTTGGTACCTGGGTTAGCATTTCACAAAATCATAATAAAATGAGCAATATCAATAAGATAGACATAAAAATATACATACAAGCAAAACATGGCAATATGAAAAGGAGGGGTTGTAAAATTACGCATTGTACATATCAAATGAAGACAGGCTTAACGGGTGACAAGACGTACGAGTTAGTACCTGAGCCGACACTAGCAATAAGATCATGCGAGTTGGAACGTAAAGTAGTATTCACGCTAAGATATACATAAGAGAAGCATTTTCATACAAGTTAGAGCTGAGATTGTAACATAGATGCAGGCGAACATGTTCGATCAAATCGAAGTGAGCATACAGATGTATAAGAATATCGTCCACAATGCATATGTAAGCGAGTATAGTCTAAAACATGCACGTAACGGGACGGCGATGGTGTTCGCAACTATAAAAGAGCGCGTCGCTCAGCCTTCCAGTTGTATGGTAGCAGCCAAGGTTAAGTGATCACGGAAAAAACTAGTTGACTTTTACTTTAGGGTTTTTTTTAACTGTACAGATAAGGTATGGTCGATGTGGTTTCGCCGTCATCCCTGAATGACTCATAGGACAGCTAACTCTACGAATGGGGGGTGGTCGGTATGGCTTCGCCGTTATTCTTGAATGACTGAAGGATACTCTCTCTTGCGACGTGAAACGGTTAGGGGCGGACAAGTGGACCTGTAGGCCGAGGCTGGCTGCTACAACACCAGCGGCGTATCCTTTTCTTTTACAGAAACTCGCGATACGGAAACGTGGAAAAGTAACTATAATAATAATCATTCGGAACGGATAAGAAACATTAAAACGTTAAAGAAGGGTTGGATCACCACGCTGGCTTTTTCCTCCCACTCTCCTTAAAATCGCTTATCCATAGTAAATTCCTCAGGAATAAATAAATAAAAACGTAACAACTAAACCGAAGTTCCCAGTTGTTTTAATTCAAATTTTCTTGGAAAGAGTCCTGGATTGGCTGAGTATACCCCGCCCAAGAAGACTCGTTGTATGCAAATTTTTGCGGCCATGAGGACGGCGGCAACTGATTGAATACGTTGTATACGTAAAAGGCCAACTCTGTTACCAATAATTCATTCGGAAGGAAAGTAGGCATGGAGCATAATGAAGCCCAAGTGAAGCATAAGTGATTATATATTCCCTTTTACTTTCAACTGCGTTACGTCGCAATTACAAAGCGGAATCTCTTTACTATATTACGTTTACATAACTTTTAAACACATTCTGATTTAAAAAAAAACAATTTTTTTATTAAAATACAAACAGCGGTGAAAAAAAAAAATTTTTTTTGGTTCCTACAATATTCATGCTATTCAAATTTGTTTAAATGGAATATCCGAAGCGACATTGGTATTGTATTTTATTTTTTCCTTTTACTTCGCCTTCTTAGTGTAGGTTTTTCATTACGTAATTTGGTGTTTCGAAGGGGTTCAGCAAGATTGACGGGCTTGCATTTGCGACTTGGTCGTGACTTCCCAATTCCACTTTCGTTTGTGCCATTTTCTGTGTGATTGCTTTCTGTCTGTTTGTATGAATTTTCGATTCGCGGTGCACAAGGTGTGCTATTTGTAAGCTCATTCTCATCAAATTTAATAGAAGTTACTTTTTAAGCATAATTTAAAAGAAACACAAATTACATGACATAAATATAAAACAATTCGATATACTTACAGCTCTCGTATGATGTGGTCTGACATGGGAATTTTAAAGAATCACTTTCCTTATTAAACCTGCAATTGCAATTCCTTGGTTCTTGTATACTTTCATTTTCTAAAGGATTTCGTTCTCTGGTAACGACTGCAAAGTCATCTTTAAAACTAAAACACGCTGCACACTTACTATCTGTGGTCTTCATAATCAATGCGTTGTCTCGGAAATCTTCTAGTGAAAGCGTTAATCTTTTTGGTTTACCAAGAGCATTCCTTAACTCTTTTAATGGCATCTGAGAAGGGTTTTCTTCTCTAGGAGTGGCATCGAGAGAATTTTCCTTGTCGCTAGTGTTACTACTGTCCTTTAGCAAACTTTCATCGCATTCACATACTTCATTTTCATCCTCTTCAAATATAGTATCACTTGAAATTTTCTTCTCTTTATCTTGGGACTCCCTTTTTCCATCTAAGTCCTCCATCTCTTGATCAATTTCTTCATCTGAATTTTCACCATCATCACTATTATGTCCGCTTATTGTGGGTGAAGCATTACGTAAAAGTTCTTCATGATGAAAAAGAGCACTGGAACGTCTTAATTCTAAGGCCATTTCAGAAGAATGTCGTTTTTCCAATATGGTTGAATTATTAGTGATCTCCGCAAGAACATCTTTTTGAAATGCTTGTGTTTTTAAATACTGTACAATTTCGGAATCTGAAGTCCCAACGTCCTGCAAAAGCTGTATACCCAGATATCTACATCGTCTCTTCAAAATGAGCCCTTCTTCATTATTAGCTAATAGCTGTTGCCTTAAACTACAAATTTCTTTCTGAAGATCGCCAATTGTTATGCGCATCTTTTGCACTGTTTCGACAAGCTCCCTATTTACCACTTTATAATTCTCCATATTCTCCATAAATCCAAACATTAAACTGTGACAATTACACGAAAACAATAAATAAACTATGCTTTCAGAAGTGAACGCTTTTGTAGAGTTACCATTTCCTACAAGAAAAGAAGGTGTTATATTAATCCTGCAAAAGATTATGATCAATTTAAAGTATTATTAACTAAGTTTATGAAAATGTAATTTAAATTATCAACCGACACGGTAGCGTCTTTCCGTATATACAAGAAAAAATTATATATAAGCGCAAATATTGCATGCAAATGAAAATAGTAAGCGTAAGAATAAATAGCTTCATACTTTTATTATCCAAAATGAAAAATCGTCCTTTGCACACCAGTCTCTTGTATGTCATGTATAGTCTGCGAAAAGCAAAATTTTCTATTATCAAATTCCTATTTTCGCTCTGGTATTTTGATTAACCCCATGTTAATAGGTGTGTTTTTAGATATTAGGTAATACTATATTTTTAATAGGAAATTTTTACCTGGCAGTGCCTTAAGAACAAAAAAAAGTAAATTTTCACTACTTTTTGTTTCGTTGTTAAAAGCAGGTGTTTAATCGCGCAAATAATTTTTAGTTATATTAATTTTTTTTTTTTTAACAAAATACTCCAATTAGTAATTTGTGCCTCATCGGTTTTTATAGTATTATTCAAAATGAATGCGTATTCATTATACAGTAAATTGATATGCAAGAATTGAAGGAGATTGCTAAACGTACATAAGTGAAGGCAACCAAACCATCAAAAGAAGTTCTAAAAGAAGCGAATAAAGAAAATTTTATAAATAACTTAAAAAAATTAATAATTTTTTTTATAAATTTTATTCAAAATATGAAAACTAAATTTTAACTGCGCAGTGAGAAATTTTGTATAATTAAAAACGTTGTGAGCAGAGTTTTTTCTAAACATAACGAGGCGTGTTTGTTGAGTATTTTTTTTCACAGCAACTCTTCTATTTCGAGTTGCAATGAGAAAATTTAACTTCATAGTCTAATAAAAGCGAACATTTTAAATTTATATTGTCCGAAGATAAATAAATGTTTAAGCCTAAGTAATTTTGATTAGCGTTCCGTTTTGGAAAGTTAGCTCTAAATTACGAACAATAAATATTGCTAGTGAAACATAAAAGAAAAAGAAGGAACACAACGAATTTGGAAAACATTTACAATAACCACATCATCATCAGTATAGAATAGCAAGGTAATATGGTACTTAATTACATTTTATATTTTCGTTAATTTCGATAAATTTCTAACGGAATGAATGCAGCAGAAAATAATGGGGATTTTGTATTGAAATAATAAGTAGTAAATATGAGAGGAATACTGGGGGCACTTTGTTCAGGTCAACGTCCATTGTGAACCACATATTTTCCTTGCCTCTCAGGTCAATTGTTGCTGCTAGTGAGACAATACGAGTGCAGTTTATTTTAGCGGGTGACTGTTAAACCTGGCTTAACAAGAAGGTAAATTTTCCGTTTGAGGTTACATAAAGCTTTCTTTTAATATAATGTAACTAAAAACGTATTAAAGCGCCTTTCCATGCTCTCTGAGTAGGTGTGATAACAACAGATGACAATGGCAAATCGACTCAAAATCTCATAATATTAAAAACAATTTGCTTTTTTAAAAATCTTTTATAATGAATTTGGATGTAACAAATAGCGTAGCCGATTCGCAATTGAGAAAACGTTTTTAATATGTATTGCTTCCTCCTTTTTATCAATAAAATAAACGCATATACGAATGCTTGTTTCAATTTTGTTCTAACAAAAAATTTTACTTCGAATAATATGTAATATATATACGTGTATAAGGGAGCATGTTATGAGTGAACGGTTAGTTGCATTTTAATCTTATTTAAAATACATTGACTCTAAAATGTTTTGACCCACATAGAGTTTGTTTATTTAACACAGCGTGTGGTAGACGAAGAAGAGAACATACCTATTAATACCACATACAAAGGGCGCTAAAAATGCATGTTCGTTTATATTTATGTTTACACGCTAGACAATATTGTCTTTGTGCATAAAACTAAATACTCGAAGAAAAAAAAAAAATGAAAATATTTCTTAAAAATTGAAAGGAAAAATATCCTATACACATAAAAGTTGTATTCGGTTGTTTAATATTTTACTAAAGACATCGGGTCATTCCATGACAAACTCAATTTGCTACAGTTGGTCATAAGCATCATTATAAGTATCGTCTCTGTGGGCTTTTTTAGTTTGCAAAATAATGAAAACGTAAAGGTGATGATGATGCTTTTACTTGCAGAAATTATTCTCTTGTGTCTAACTAAAGATTTGTTCATTGCTTGACGAATTCAAATTTTATTGAATTATTTACATTTATTGGAACACGTCAAATACCTATTAATATGTATTATAAGTGAACGCGAATTGAATGCAAAAAACCTTGCTTATTCATCAAAATTTCCCGCCTTCTAATGCAAGTATGCTAGTTGTCTGTGTATTTTTCGTGAACATATTTATTATTGTTATTATTATTATAAATTTAGCCAGAGAATAAATTCTAAGACTGAAAAGTCTTAAATCACTAGCATCTAAGGCTTTCGTCTTTCATTAATAAAACTCTACCAGAGATTTGAACAACCGCGACCATTGAGTTGCTAGTCGAAGCTCTTGCTTACTCGGCCACTTAGGCGGATCTTGAACATATTGAAGTTCGTCTTCTTCAGCGAATTTCTTTCCTTGCTTTCATCAAACATTGACTAGAAAGGCGTCGATTAATTGCTACATACCTCGCTATTTTACTTGCTTCATATCATCTCTATATAACGATAGATTTTAAGCAGACTATAAAGTTTTTAGTTCTGATCACAATCAGAACTTAAGACTAGCCTTTTTAGCTCGATTAATTGTTGCCATATAAAAAACAATTACAGGAACTTGTATTTACAGCGCTTTAATTATCTTTCTGCTCTTGCCAGTTCGAATATTGAAATTCAAGTTTCTTGACTCGCGACTATTCTGCTTTTGCCTTTTTTATTAAATTAATAGATAACCGCCTCAGCTTTTTATGTCGGAATCAATTTTCCGAGCAATATCAGAGCTGCAGATGCAGCTTCTTTCCTATACTTAGACTCAAGCCGTTAGCTAAAAATATATACAGCAAGTGTCAATTTTTTCTTCTGTACGTATGTACATAAGTATATAATTACAATGTGGAGCGTCACGAGCATCGAATTGTATTGGGTGATAACCAAAATACCTTCATGTTATATTTTTCTTTCAAGAAAAAGTAAGCAAAAAGCATTTAACAACACCGTTACCGAGAAAAAGGAAAGTAGAGGAAAGCTGGTAGCGTTTGAAGATCGATTGCAGATTTTATTGAACAAAAGTTTTATGTCAATCTTAGAAGAACTTCCTCAACAAGCTATTTGATTAGATCGCAATTACAAGGTAATGCTTCAAAACCAAGGAAAGGGAGGAAATTGACTGCTGTGCAAATTAAAGACCAGAGAGAATTTTCTATCCGCGAACAACTGCTCCAAGTGTTTTTGCGCTGAATTGTAATTGATGATGAACACTGCATTTAGGACAACAATCCAAATTTTAAAAAAAATCCGCGCGGTAGGCTTAACAGTGAACGCAAATATCCATAATTCGAAGTTCATCTTTTTTATTGCTTTGTTTCAATCGTAGGAATCTTATTATAAAGTGCTAAAACCGATTGAAGCTTTACAACAAGTCTCCATCCGCTAAGCCGTCTTTTGAGGGGTAGGCGTCTGGGGCATGAGAGCAGACACCCAGCAGAGTCCCATATTGAAATAGCCTTCGAAAACTATTTGGGGATAATCCGTCGCTGGTCTTGCTTTTTTAACGTTTTCCCTTGCGTTTATCTCTTTTTCCGATCAACGAGTGTTGGCAGCATTTTTATGCACGAATGCATAAATATTTAAAATTTATGCAAAAATAATTTGTCGATTCGTGGATTATTTTTTTAGAGATCAAGGGCCGATTTGTAGCCGTCGATCGAGAGTAAACTGGAGTCGATTATTGACGCACTGTAACGAGTAGTGGGCTCGCAGCTCTAGATAAATTATACGTTTTTTTTTGCTTTGAACTACATATTTTTTGACCACAACCTGCTCAAGTTTATTCCGGCTCCAACGTCCCCTACGCGATATTCGTAACCCGCGACAATGAAGCAATAAGTAATAATTGTCTTACTGCTTTTAGGACTACAGCCAAGCTCTAGAGTTCTCTTGAGTTCGTAATTATAATTTTAAGGAGCGTATGTTTGCGTAAGGAGCGTATTGGTGATTGGTATAAAAATTTATTTGGCTTTAAAATTACTCAGATTTTCGGTATTTAATCAGATGTTCGTTAAAGCCGCTTTTAATATATAAAATACGTTTACATATTTAACTTTTAATCATTTGTGAGTATTGCTTTAGAAACTAAAGAAAAATTAAATTTTATTCTTTTTATAAGTTTTTTGAAGTCTCAGGGGAAAGCGGATTATATTTTGAATATATTTTGATTAGTAAACCGCAAAAATTAAAGGTTTAAAGGTTTCATTTTTTTTTTTTGTACATAGCGTATACAATAATTTGTCAGTCGAAAGCCACAAGTATTGTGAGCTGTAGAAAAAGTTATGTCAAAAGCATGAACTTCCAAATGTATTTGTTAGGCTGCTTGCACCATTCGAGTGATAAACGAATTGCGTTCAGAGATAGGATAGTTCTTAGTACTTTACGGCCAGGTAGAGTATATTTGAGTTAAAATTCACTTATAGATGGCGAACGACTGGTCATAGCGAGACTCAGATGGTAACTCAATGGTTCATTATTCATGTATTAAGCGGACAAGATGTTTAGCACTTTAAGGATCAGGTAGGCCTTCACCGCTCTTGGATTGCCCTACGGATCGAATTCGAGGAGTGTTTTGGACTTTTCACCATCAGCTTTCTTCTTCTAATCCATTATCGTAACAACGAAAATGAATTACTTTGGAATTCAACAACAAGTTTATTGTTTTTCTTTTGCACTACCATTCAAATATCGCCCTGACTTGTGCTGACTGTGGTACAAGGGTCCCGGAAATGTTCGTTGAAGTCTATCTTAGATATTTCTGAGATAACAACGTTTGAGCTCAATTTCCGAAATAATCTTTCCTTAGTTAAGTATGAGCAACAAAAACCAAAATGGCAGAACGTTTTTTTGATCCACTTGAATTGGAACTGAAATCGAAATTTTAAAAATGAAATCAAAACTTTTCGCAGACTTGGCGTATAGCTCTTCACTGCGTCTTCAATTTTAAAGGGGATTCCCGTTTTAATGATTTGAGTTTTTATACTTTATAGGGCAAGATACAAGAAGGTATATTCAGTTTGTGCGAATGCGTGTAGAACGATCTTTCATAGTAACGTTCGATTCAGGGAGTGCAAGTAAGCTTGTCTATCCGTCTGTCCACCTTGGCACACCACAATTTTGACGAAATTTGACGAACGCTATTGAATATGATTAGCATCGGGTCACTTCTTCGTCCACTTCCCCTATAAGGCCTTCTTTTGGAAAGTCATTATATAAATAACTGTAGGATGGAACTGTAGTATTTCCTCATCGTAACTTGGTATGAAGAATTTAGTTGAGCAGGGGAAACTTTTTGAATCCCGTCTTATATAATCGTTCCTATAAACTCGAAATCGTTACATGATAAGAACGTCTAGTTTTCAATATTTGATTAAAAATTGGTACATTACAAAAAATTGACAAAAAAATAAAGCTTACCGCTTACAAGGGTTCTCAGAAAACCTTTATATGCTAAAAAGGCTTAATTGTGAAAATTGACTCCAGTAGAAATTTGGCAAAAGAATTAATACTAGGCTGTTTGAATCACGTAGGTCTATTTTTTAGACCCTAACCCTAACGTATACAAGGGGTGTCATAAAAAGCAAGCCCTTATATGGAGAGAAAGTATAATTTAAAGTTTTCTGCGGCGGAAAATGAAAAATCGTAAAAAGTTTGGAGAGCAAATCAAGTTTGCTAAATTTGCGTCACTTGATGTTTTTAGCATCCTCCATTATGCGAATTTTCACGAAAAGTATGCCTTTGAAAGAAAATAAATTGTGATCTTTGGTGTATTATTACCAAAATGAGCGAATAACTTTACTCGATGGTAGGGTATTTAGTGCTCGTCGTTGCCAGACTATAATGCTCTTATCTGTTTTACAATAAAAACACCTAGTTATTTTTTGAACATAGGGTGATAACAAATACAAGAAAATAATGGACTGCTCCTTATATAATACTGTGACCAAAGCGTACGACCAACATTCAATTTAAAGCTAAAGGCGCAGGTGTATTGAATTTTAGAAATACTTTTTTTCTCTATTGCCAGCACGCTATGACAGAGTGACCGACATCTTTGTCAAATTTCATATCACAAACGTCGTTAGCGTGTCAACTACGCACAAAAGTATTATTTCTTCTCCC